TGATCCGCAATACCCTTGAAATCGTCGCATTAAAATCACGACCTCGCATGGATAAGTTCTGTCTCGTGGCAGAGGGCGACACACACACACACACACACACACACACACACACACACACACACACACACACACACACACACACGTACACACACACACACAAACACTCACACACACACGTACACAGACACACACACACACACACACACACACGCGCGCGCGCACACACACATATATATATAATATATATCAGAGATAGTAAAGACAGTAGCGAGCATAGTTGACGTTCCAGACTCAAAGCTGTAGGGGAACATCTTTTCCACAGCAAACAAGTGAAGAGTCCAGTCAACTTCTCTCTCAGCCCGAACAAATGCCGTCATAATGAACACTAGGTCAAGGAGCACTCAACCCAAAGTCTTGTGGTTTTACTCTGGGTGCTTTTGGTGACGAGATGTTGCGTGAGTGCAGCCATGGTGTGCACGTAGGTGTTGGGGAGAATGGGTCGCAGTAACTCCTCAACAAGAAGTCTCAATGCTTTTACATTTTGAGGGTCAACATTTTTGGCACCCCTACAAATGCTGAGCCAAGTATGTCTTCAATGCCACTTCCTCCCATCAGGTATCCCACAGCACTAACAAAACTCCTCAGCATGTGCATACCAACAACTCTTGGGATGAACTTCTGAAACTGTTCCTTGTCAACCCATGTGATGTGGACAAGTTCTTTGTACAGCTGGTAGTCACTGGTGAATATTGTCCATCCATGACCAGTGAGCTGTGTCGGACCCTTGGCTTCAACCTTTGCTGTCTTCACGGTGTCTGGCTCAGATGGGATCATGTCCAGGAATGGGCTGTGCACCTCATCTGTCTTTGGTTGGGGTTGTTGTTCTGCATTGCGGGTACGTTGTGTATTATAACCTCCATACTCAGGTCTTGCATCTTCGCCGAGTGCCTGTTAAAAAAATGACAGATCTTGAGTTGCAGTTCTATTCAGAGAAACGTGTGGCAAGAAAGACCAGATATGGGGTATGTCGCAGGCTCAGTTCTTCCGGCATAAGTGGTTTCGTGTTTCCTGAGTACCGTTGAACTGCAACGTCACCAAGTGTCAGATTATCGGACTCGTTTCTGTTTTGCTGAGACGCCTGATGGCTGGAATATCTTGCATTTCCCACACCTGCTCTGACTTCTGGGTGTTGGCTTGTGCCAGTATCTTTGCTGAGCCGTGCGTTGATTTCTGGCCTTTTGGAGATGATATCTGCGTGTCAAAGTTGTCAGCTACAACTTGAACAAGTCCATGTTTACTGTCAAAGTAGGCCAGTCCTCGTGGAACAGATGCCATAGTAACAGTAGCTGAACACCGAAAGCACCTTAGTTCGTCGTATGAGGTGGTGACTCCATACGTGTGAAGCTCGTCTATAAATTTTCTCTGTCGACTCAACAGGACACTAAGTCCAAGTTGCACGTTTGTGAAATACCTGCTGACTGTGCTTGTAACAGTGTGGCCGATCATTGCTGCTAGCAGTGTAGAATCCAGTTTGGGGTCTGTAGCTGCAAGGACCGATAGCAAAGGCTGCACTCATTCATGATAAATCCCCTAGGCAGAGAAGATGGGGACGTATGACGATTGTGCTTTGGACATTCTGCTTTGATCACACTAACCAAGCATGATATGGCTCGTCCATTACAGTCTTCTTCATCATTTACAATACGCATCTAGACTGAAGCCGTGCTCCTGAAGACGAGGATGGAAGCCACACCTGGTGAGACAGGATCAGCAATTCTGGGTGTAGCTTCTCAGATACATGGTTCAGGAGTGTACGTCGCGATTTGTCTTCCCCCCAAGTTCAATATATAGCGTTCATGGACTTCCACACTATTCCACATTCGTGATTTGTTTCATCGAATCTCGTCAACCAGCATACCGAAGATATTGTCATGCGTTGTAGGTGAGCTAGTTGATTGCGTTGGATAGTTTATATAGAACCAGGAGTGCCAGTCTCTCTGATACCTAGCGTCTGCTGCATGCAAATCACTGACTGCTGATGACACAAGGAAGCTGACATCCATTCCCCATTTGTTCCCACGTTCCTTGGTACGTTTTTTGTAGTTCTTCTTGGTGATCTTCCTCCCTTTCTCCTCTCCAGTTCGGCATAAGTAGGCTTTTTCCAACGATCTGGGTGTTTTCGGGAGTATCGGTGAGCATGCTTCTCCACAACAACAACAACAAAAAACAATGTTCGTGAAAATTAAACGAACTAGTACTGCCCCTATTACGTTTGTGTTCTTCAGAAAGTTCCTCAGTCTTTTGCTTTAGTAAAAATCGCTTAATACGGCCCCTGGAACAATGTGTGCTCATATAGCTCTTGCAGGGGCGAAGGCTGACTTGTTTGACAGGGTAATCAAAGTGAAATGGGACCAGATATGGCCTGGAGATATCACACTCACACAAGTCACAAGAATCTTACTGGCACTGGAGGCGGCAACTCTGAGTTGAGAATGAAAACAAATCCTGAATTCATGTTGTATGCTTGTTCAACCGCTAAAATAATCGGGAAAGTATTTCATTAAATATTTATTCTAACTAACCTTAAATTTAACTTTAGATTTGAACACACGAACACCAAGGAAAGAAGCACAGATGTCAGCACTACAATGGCATGTTATACCAGACAGCCAAAACACTTTGGTAGAGCACGCCAATTATTAATTATTTATTTCACATTTGGCTGTTTTTTGTCTAGCTTTTCGCGGCCAGGAGCCGCTGTCATAATCGAGGTCACGATCTGATTATAGGACGTTAAAAAGTCGAGGAAAAAAACAAGCACTAGCAGTGCAGTAGCAGGAGTCAAAGGATTATTAGGAGTTAGTTCCCCTCACATCTGTGAGGTAGACTCGACCAGTGTAATAGTTCGCTTAGATAATCAGGGCGTCTGGGTGCTTATAACTGTGGCCCGAAAGGGGTGAACAGGGTATATGCGACAATGAAACAGTTCTGACTGCTATGCACATGTTCCCTTCAAATCTATTGGTTGACTCTTCCAGCCTCACTTTAAGCTTACTTAATCAAAGCTTGTGACTGCTTATGGAGTGGCCCGATAGGGGCGAACAGGCTATTTCTGTGGCATTGAAACGGTTTTGAAGGTTAGGCATAGTCTATTGTTCATTGGTGATTATGAACGTCTTTTTACATTTAATTTATGAGGTTTACGTCTATGGGTGAATTTGACTGCGACAATGTTTCAAAATTAGGAAGGGAAGCAGTGATTATTTGATTATATAGATGCTTCGCCTCTGAGCTCTTGTGACACAGTATAAATTCAGCATCTTCAGGAAGTCTCTGATTGAGTCCATCATCTCGTTGCCGGTTTGCTTCCACCAGTAGACCACTAATCCGTCTCGATTTGATCAACAGTGGGTTCTTTATCGCATCAGTATGTGTTTAAAAGTAATTGAGTGAGCACTGTGTGTGTGCATGTGCATGTTGCATGAACCGGCCTGTTCGCATCACGTCCTCGTGGTGACGTAGCGTTTTCCTACATTCTTTGTTTCCACGGAGGTGTGGTGGGACGAAGCACGGTCCGCCTTTGTCTCCTAGCTTTACTAGTTGAGTCCATATTATTACAGCAGGCCGTGCTCTGAACCTTTTGGTGCATCATGTGACATCACGGCGAGAGGAGCTGTTAGCGTTAGGCCTAGATCTAGTACCCTCCCGCGAATCTTGGTCGAATCGCACATGTGGGCAAAATCCGGATAAACTATCCGGATAACCGGATAATTCTCAATGAAATATTATCTGAATTCAGACTCTAAACTCTCTTTCCTGACCCGTTTGCCGAATTGAGTGTACCCATTTGTTGATGAAGTAATGCGGTTCATAACATATTATTTGCCGAAGAGGTGTACTAACACATTATCTGGATTTTGGTAAAGCGACTCATTGCCCAGCCCTAGTCGGATCGCTTCTTCATCCTTCTTGCATGATACGGTTTGGTGCATTTCAACCAGCAGAAAAAATTATGCCCATAAAACACAAGTTGGCCCCCGACTGATATGAAATTTAGAGACCCCGAGGAAGCAGAATCACCAAAGAAAAAAACTTTATGATGAAAAACAAGGTTCTAGTACTTTATATAGACCCGGCTCTCGGACTACACTGGGTGACCTTGATACCTAACTTTAGATTGAAAATAGACAATTGAAAAACAAAGTTTGCTCAAGTTTTAAAATATGGCATCAAATCAGGTTCCACGTGAGCCACTTTGCTTATTTTGATACGCCGATTTCGAAAATGAAATCAGTTTTTAGCTGCGATAATTATTTTGAAAATTCTGCGCGCAAAGTTTAATCCCGCGCGGCGGCAAACCTCAAAGGAATTTTGCGTCACAGCCTCCCACGTGTCACTTCACGCTGAGGAAGGGGGGGGGGTCTATTATAAGATCAGTTAAAAGAGACTGTTGTCTGTCCTCTTCATCATCATCATCCAGTGCCAGATCTGCGACAGACATCGGCGATCATGATGTTCCATTCATTCCTTTGCTCGGGTGCTCTCAGAAAAGCTACGTTTCCCTGATTTTTCCCTGTTACCCATTTGTTTAGGTTCCCTAAGTATGTTGTTCTGGGCCTACCCCTGCCTCGCTTGCCTTCAATTTTGCCAGTGAGAGCTAGATGTTCAAGACCCTTATGTCTATTCAG